TAAATGTTTTTGTAGATTTCAAAGTGGCTTTTGTCAGTTGAAAAGTGTTCTGAATTTGCATTATGTGAAATATATATGTAATATAAGATGAAATATGTAATGGCTTGTGATGTATACATGAAACATACATGAAAATTATACACAAATAACCAGTGGGACACTTTATATAAGGAAATTGTAGTGCAATGAAATGTCACCTGCCAGGTTGATCAAGCACAGCATCTATAGAAATTGATATTTACTGTCACCCTGTCACCCATAGCTTATTTTATAATTTGAATATTGTAATTTTTCAGGATTTCAGTGTACAATTAGGCTTGAAGTGTTTGGAAGACAATATGAATGAACTAAATGATGTTTATCCTGTTGCTATTATTACCTACGCATTTGCCTTAGCTGGGAGTGAACACAAAGAATTTATGATGCAGAAGTTGAATGAATTGGCAACTGTTGAAGGTAATTTTCAGACTACTAAAAATGACATACCAAATCAAAATAAAAAATGAATGAGTCAGAGATAGCAAATTACTATTGACATCTTTTAGTCTTCATTCAGAAAAAGTACAAAACAGGGACTTGTAGATTGACGTGTGTGTGTGTGTGTGTGCGCTCGCTCATCAGTCCATCCGGACCTGTATCTGACATCCACCTGCAAAAAACACAAAAACAAGGGTTAAACTGCGTAAGATTATTTCTGGTTTTGACAAATACCAGATCAATAGCCAAACAAGATCAATAATCATTTATGCAGTAAAATTACAAAAATTCATAGTTGTTTAAAAAACATCTCAGATCTCTATTTGTACGTCCAAGTTGGCATCACTGTCACGATCAAACAAAATCCTTACAGCTTCGTCTTGAAGTTTGTCGATGTCATCCCACACAATTTGGACCCACACATTTAATCCACTGATTTCACTGTCTGGTAGCTTGGCACTTTTAATTCACACCTAATCAGAATAAAGACAAGAAAAATGGGGTCGTGGCAAATGACTCGCACGATGATCTTGTTTACCTTATGGCAATCATCTTTGACCTTTAAGCATTCACTTTACTGATTGGCTAAGAATGACATCACTGCTAGTGTTTCATCATAGAGGTCAAGTCAACATTGCTTTTTTATCAGACTAGGCGCTCACCAATCGTGAAAGTTACCATTCAGCAAGTCGCAGTGGGCTTGAAATAGAAAGAATTTTTTTCTCCAACGACAGAAGAATAATTTCCATGACAGAAATGCAATAACTGTGATGAAAGAAGGCAAAAAAGTTGGCAGTCTTCGGCGTGACATTGCAAAATTGATGGCCTCAGTTATTGATTCGCAAACTGCTAGCAAATATTTTAAATCATTCTCTCAGGTACTGGTTGCTACAATATTGTAACATCGGTTTCATTGTTGCTGAAGCTGAACGAGTGCGGCACTTGCTTCGTGGCTCTCCATATGCTGGAAGATTTGCATGAATCGTTTCTAAGGAAACACAAACCAAACGGCCCTTTTCAGGGCCACGACATACTTAAAAAAAAAAGAGAACTACCGTTTTTGCTTTAATATACATTTTTGTAGACTTGCTGACTGTTATGATTCTGATGAAAAATAAACGTAAACAACGGCGAACACACTGCCCTTGAGGCAGAACGCGAAACTACTAGAAAAGACCCCCTGGACGTATGCCCGGATATGACCTTAACTTCTTTATTGTATCAAAATTGGGGGGGGGCGTTTGCCCGGGCATGGGCGCTTACACGGTAAATACAGCCATTATATATCATATCATGTTTCATGTTCTGATTCAAAATGGCAGGCTAATTTCATTAAAATAAGTAATTATCAGGAATGCTATTCTTAATGTGAGAGTAGTGGTGAAAAAAAATTTTTCTTGCTAGTTAATTGAAATGGGATGATTATAGTAGTTTTTGCTGAATAACAAGGAAGTGTCTGATTTAGTTTCTTATTCTAGTCTCACACTTCTTACCAATATAACATTTGCATATTTTTCGATCAGGAATGGATAGCATTGATCATAGTTTGTGTCAGAAAGATTAGGAACATGAAGATAATTAACAAAAGTAGAATAAAAGTCAGTAAATTTGTAAGTTTTGATGGATTTAAATGTTATGTTTTCTATAGATGGATTAAAATACTGGGCTGTTCCTAAAGATGATGATGAATCTCAAAATGACAATCGTCCATGGTGGTATCAT